CAAACTTACCCACCAAATTACTGTTTTCCTTTAAGGAATTTGATCTATTTAATCTCCTTAAGCCACTAAAACCTTGCACAGCTCTTCTAACACCTCTTTTAGGTAGAGACATTTCATTTAAATTTTTCACAGACACTTTATTCCGCTTAATACCTATGTTTTCTCTGCATAATCTAGCTTTACTAACGGAATTTGATCTGGTTGTTATACATTTTCGTTTTGCCCTAGACAAAGTGCTAGTTCTTAGAGACACAGAAGTGTCAACCTGAGATGTACTTGGTTCACTTTTATTACCATCATTTACAGCACTTTCTTTCTAAAATTTGAAATGGATTAAGGTTAAGACTAATAAAGCTGCTATAATTGTCTCACTTGCTGGTCTTCAGCCTCATTTTCAGAGTTCAAAATAAGTTTATTTTCACCAACTGTTGTACTGGTCAGAGGCGGCAAAACATTTACTCGAGTTCGATTAACATGCTTCGAAGGTTTGCCTGGAAACTTTGATCGACCCATTTTGCTTTTGGTTTTAATGGTCACGAACCATTATAATTTGTTTAAATTTATTTATTATGTAGCTATACCATAACAGTTTATAAGTTTACACCAGATCGCCATATTCATCGTGCGCGTTTGTTGATTTTTAGCACCCCCTATGGTCCACAATTAACATTAGATTTCGGCAACCATTTTGAAAAATCGACGAACACCTTACGATATCACGTATAGAGGCCGCAAGTGATTTTATTTTTAAATGAATTTAAATATGTACTTATTTTTTTATACTGTATACTCACTAGCTACATAAATAATCATATTCTGCATTTAACTCAATTATTATAACATTAGAAATTAAGCCTAGGGAAGACCTTAAATGTACTATTATATTTTGCATTGATAAAAATACCTGCCTTTATCGCTAACGTAAAACGAACGTAAAAAAGCGCTCGTTAAATTACTGGAAGATAAAAGGTATTTACTGAAGCTTAAGAAGGTATAATTATTAAAAAAAGTATGTAGAATCTCATGGTGTCAACGGTTTTCGAGTGCGATGTCAAATAGGCACTTTTAGTATTATTTTTGTTAACATATGTAAAGTAATTTCTACATAAAAAAGCGCTCGTGAAATTACTAAAAGATGGAAGGTATTTAGAAACCTAATAGAAATGAAAACTATGTAAAAAAGTACGTAGAATCTCATGGTGTCAACGATTTTCCAGTGCGATATCAAATAGGTACTTTTAGTATTATTTTAGCTTAAATATATAAAATAAATGAATCATAAAAACGCGCTCGTGAAATTATTCAGAGATGGAAGATATTTACTAGGCTTCCAGAAAATAAAATTATGTAAAAAACTACGTAGAATCTCATGGTGTCAACGGTTTTCGAATGTAATGCCAAGTAGGTACTTTTAGTAATTATATTTAGTCAAATGTATAAGATATGTTAAACATAAAAGCGCTCCTATAATCATTTATAGATGGAAGGAATTTAATAAGCTTTGAGAAATGAGAATTATGTAAAAAAGTACGTAGAATCTAATGGTGTTAATGGTTTTCGAGTGCGGTGTCAAGTAGGTACTTTTCCGGTGTTGTTCTTACTCAATATATAAAACATAGCTTAAACATGATAAAGCGCTCGTGAACTTATTGTACCAAATTACTTTGTTTTAAGTATTCATCTCAAACCCGCTCCTTTACCCTTTCCCTTTCTCTCTACAGGCAGGTTCGTTCCCTTCGCCAGCCTGATAAAATCTGTGCAATTTATGCATATGTATTTTCATTAGAAATTAAGCGACCAAAGAACAGTTTTGTATATTGTTTTTATAATGCACCCTTTTTCGAACAATTAGTTAGTTTTTCATCTATTTATTTGGTTATATATTCATTAGTAAAAAAAATGCATTACCATATTTTAAAGTCTTAAAGTACATTCTAGATTTTGCGTTACGAAATTTTTGTGGAGCTATTAGCTATTTTATTTATCACGTATTAACAATCGTTTTTCTTGTAAAGTAGAGCACAGATATATGCCTACATGTGCCAGCAGACCAACATTTATTTTATTATACCAGCATTATGCAATAATGTCTTTCACGTTTGTAGGCCTTAGGCATACTATACCAGTTCTTATACTAGTTTTACACGCCTAATAAAATCAAAAACCGTATGCATGCCACAAAGGGATTTTTCAATTTACTAAACTTATAAATTTTATGTTTTCTCTACAATATCAAGTTTTTGCAAACGGAATTCGAATACCTATGCACAGGAAGCTTTATAACTTATTTTCTGCTTTAAACAAACTAGATAGAGAAAGTGATCAAAAGTAAATGTCTCCAAGGTAAAAGTCAACCAAATGGGCACTGGTATTAAAAGTTATTATATCATTCGTTCCTAAGACATCGAATAGAATTGGTCAAAATGGCTCATTTGAGACAATTTTTAAGCGGCTTAATTTTGTTAACGTGTGTTATTGTTTCTTATTCAGTAACATTGGTAAGTTTTATTCAGCTTTATTACAAACTCTAGTTTTCAAGTCAAAATTGTAATTCAATTTTTTTAAATTAAAAACTAAATCAAACTTTTTGTGGGGACCAGGGGCGTTCAGAAACTATTAAAAAGAATTGTAACCATAATAAAAAAATTAATATTCAAATAAAAACAAATAATATTTATGTAGAAAGAAAAAACTTTTTAGGTACATATGCTATGTTTGTTTTTTATTAATTTACTGTTTTAGTTCATATGTTTTTGTTACTAAAGCAACTTACAGAACTGTTAAATTATTTTTTCAGTAGTAGTAGTACGTTGTATATTCTATATTTGCACACAGTTTATGTATTACATTTTTATGTACTTTGTCCCTAGCATGCAAAACTAAATGCAGTTTACATTATATAAAATATTACATGCATTTTTTGAAGTACTTAGTAAATATATAATTAGTTACATATTTTCAACATTTATAGAAAGTGCCTAGCCTTCATTAGTAACCAGTTTAACGATTTTTTTAGTACCAACATGGTGATTATGGTAATGCGTTTGCAACAGCTCTTAAGTTAAGGCAATCAGAACGAGAACAAAAGCAGGATTTTAGTAAAATTCCAGGAGTACCAGGAGTCGACTATCCTGTGTACCACAGTATACCTGAGACCCGATTTTCGTGTCACAATGTTCCTGCCGTTCCAGGAATTTACGCTAATATAGAGACAGGCTGTCAGGTATTTTTATGATGAAATATGTTTCATTTCAAACATCTTAAACGAAAGCTTTAAATAAATCGGAAATAATAAAAAGGTTGAAAACTGATTAATGCAATCTCATGAAACGTTTTTTCCTCTTTACTGCGACAATCAAAGAGAAACTACA